CCAGCTTGGGCAACATAGTGAAACAAATACAAAATAAAAAAAAAAATAACAAAAGTTAGCCAGGTGTGGTGGTGCACACCTGTAGTCCCTCCTTCTTAGGAGACTAGGTGGGAGAATCGCTTGAGTCCCAGGGGCAGAGGTTGCAGTGAGCTGAGACATGCTACTACACTCCAGCCTGGGTGACAGAGCCAGACTGTATCTTAAAAAATAAAAACAAAAAAAGAGACAAAGAAAGAGAGAGAGACAGAGAGAGAGAAAGCAATTGAAATATTCTATCCTGATGCCTTTAAATTCAGAAAAGGGGGACTAGGATTTAGGAGCCAAGAAATGCAAACAGCCTTTGGAAGCTTGAAAAGGCCAGGAAATCAATTCTCCCCTCAAAATCTCCAGATAAAAACAGCCCTGCTAATATTTTGACTTTAGCCCAATGAGACTGATTTTGGACTTGTATCCTCTGAAACTTTAAGGTAAAAAATCTATTCTATTTAAGCCATCAAATTTGTGGGAATTTGTTACAGCAGCAATAGGAGTCTGATAAAACAGTACAGATAAAGTACTAAATAAACTATGCAGAACATTAGGACAACTCAAAGAAATATTGCTTACTTCTCTTTTCTTTTCCAAATTTTAGCAGCCCAAAATCTAGGAAAACTTAGAAAACTCTTTACCATGGAAAATAAATGAAATGCATTCAATAAAGCCATTATAATAATTTCATATCAGGATTAAAAATGGGTAAGTTCCTCACTATCTACCCAACTACGACCACGCGAGGATCACTTTCTTGCTCCACTAAATTCTGCCGAGAGGAAAACAGTTTTGCCTCCCAGGACAGTCAGGAAGCCTGCTGGTTCACTAACCCCCACAGAGTTGCAGAGTCCAGGTATAGCATGGGGTCTCTGTGCCTCGCTTGACTAGCATTTTTCACTAAAAGGCATGCTCTGTCATATTTCATCCACAGGATGGTTCTAGATTAAGTGGATCACATAAAAATGTGTCAGATTACTTTATAACAAAGACAATAGATAAATTAAAGAGCATTTATTCTCTCTCTATGAAATGGCAAACCTGGCTTTTACTCCGGTGGAAACAGCATTTATTTCAACTGCCCAGGCACTTAGCAAACAGCATTCTTGTTTTGCTGTGAATCCAGTTCTCCCTAATTCCTGAGAGCCTATTACATACCCCAGAGAGCAACACTCACTGGCGTTATGTTTTCTTGCGTCTTGATAAGCACCATCTGCCACACTGCACGGTGCTCAGGAAACGGCTGCAGCTTTTACTGCATGATATGAAACTTAAGACAAAAGTCAAAACTCAAGAGAGGTGAATACCTTCAGTTTCTAAAGGTGGCCTCAATTCCAATGCAATGCATTTTTTTTTCCCTACCTAGTAAAAACTCGTGATGTTTATTGTTCCTAATGAGAACACTTTTAGGGCAAGAATGCAACTCTGAGAAAATCTCTAGCAACAGTTTTCATTCCTTATTCCCTCAAAATCTTACAGTGCACATAGCAACTTTATTCAAGCCCGCGCTTTAATCTTTAAAGATTCATCTCATTTACATCTGAAAAACATCACAAAATTTGAAGAAAAGAAAGCACGGAGTTTCGCATTTTTGAAAAGATTTCAGAATTGCTGGATGAGTCCCAAGAGTTTCAGTAGCCCCCCTCCCATCCTGGGTGAAGAGGGCCGGTTTCCTGGGCTCACCCGCCTGCATCCTCTCCAAGGAGGAAGCACAGCAGACAGTGGGGCTGTGAAATGAGGCCAGGGAACCACCAAGGTGGCGGTGGCCACTCAACCTCTGGGAGCACTGGCTGTCTCTCTTGCAACTGCTAATGAGTACATTCAACTGGGTGTTATTTATTTATCTAAACAATGACTGAATGTGTTTTCAGAACACATACCCTTCCTGAATGAAGAACTTTGAAGGGCATTACTGTTTGCCACAGTGACTGTGGCTGAAGCAAAGGCAGTTAGTGGTGCAGGGCGAGCAGGAAGTGACATGTGGAACCCAAACCTGAATTTAATCAGTAGCTCTGCTGGGCCTCAGTGTCTCAGGGACCTCTCCCTTCTATGAAGGCTGCACAGATTGCCACTGAACAGTTTTTATTTGTTTCCTTAAATCTATCAGATTATATCTTACTGATTTTTTTTAAACTAAGATAATCTCTTCTTCCAATTTAATTACATGCTGGTCTGAAAAAAGTACAAAGACATCTCATCCTTGACGCCTATTTTCTGAAGCCCTAACAAGAAAGATACTGCATTGTAGGAGTAGACTCTGGAAGTGGACTTCCAACTTTTGTGACAAAATGCACTTGGAATGTAAAGTTGTATTCTAGTCAACATATTTAATATAAGTTTTTATTTCTTTAATGTGTCCCTTGTCACTTTCTTTATTTGTAAAAGAATCACTGGGTCTTTTCTGAAACTGGTAAATGCATATCTTTCTAATAACTCCCCTGATAGTCCCGTCCTTGAGCTCCACGAGGTCAGTGTGGCTCATCTGACCCCTCAGCTGACTGTGGCAAAGGACGCCATGGGCTTTTGGCTGCTCGGGTCTCTTCAGAGAAATATAATGCGCAGGTAAGGTCAGTGACCTTACACTGCTCTTATCAAAGCTTTTCCTAAAAATATTAGGTTACATAATCTGTCTACTTGGAATTTCAGTTCTCTGTAGCCTTGGTGCTATTTTGAAGGATATTACAGAGCTGATGAAAAAAATATTAAACATGTCTTTCGGGGCTAACTTGCTCCAGTCTGTACTGCTGAGAAAGGAAACCATCCCTCCCAAAACATTTGAACCCTGTAGCACACACTACAGAAGGACCACCCATGAAGGCTAAGTGCTACTTGTTGAAACTGTGGAATTTTCTAGAACGCAGATGTAAAATCTTATTGAAAATAGGTGTATGAAGATAAAATGGGTAACAGTCTCAAGTTAACAACTTTCTATGTCTCTTAATGCAGAATCTAGAATTTGAGACACCTCTAGAACAAACAAACAAACAAACAAAAAAAGAAATCAGTTACTGAATACCTTTGCTATATAGGTAGTAAGATGACAAAATATAAGTTTTAGAAACAAACCATAATATTTGCTAATCATCCCAATGAAAAGGCAGTGTTTCCAGTTATATCCCAGTGCCTAGTACCACGCCTGCCACAGCCTTGGTGTTCACTCAATATTTGTTGAATGAATGAACTAATATCATGGATCCCTGTTTTCAAAAATGAAAGTGATTCCCATTCAGCAGTCCACACACAGACAAAAGACTGGTGCCAAAATGCAAAGGATATTCTTTTTTTGCTCCCACCACAAGACACTGTGATGAAATTTTATAGGGTGAATTAACTCAATACAACTTAACAAACAATAACTAAGCATCCATAATATGACAAACACTGCTAACAGCATAGGTAATGTGAGGAAGGCCCACAGGGAGAGGGAGCACAGTGTTCATGGCCAGTCATGCTAATTACTAGCCTTACAGCCTGGGTTCCCAGCGAGAAATACACAAACCCAGGAACACACAGCTATTAACATGGATATCCACCATCACCCAGAGTGAAGCACAGCAAATCTGGGCGGCTCTGTGGCTTCTTCTCCATGCACATCTGTTGTGCCTGCTTTCCACCCTCCTTGGTGATATCTTTGTCTCCATACATCTTCTATTGTCTCCATTGCTTGTTTTCTTTCTTTCTCTTTTTTTTTCTTTTTTCTTCCTTTTTTTTTTTTTTTTTTTTTTNAGACTGGAGTGCAGTGGTGTGATCTTGGCTCACCGCAACCTCCGACTCCCAGGTTCAAGGGAGTCTCCTGCCTCAGCCTCCACAGTAGCTGGGATTACAGGTATGTACCACCATGCCCAGCAAATTTTTGTATTTTTAGTAGAGACGGGGTTTCTCCGCATTGGTCAGGCTGGTCTTGAACTCCTGAACTCAGGTGATCTGCCTGCCTCAGCCTCCCAAAATGCTAGGATTATAGACATGAGCCACCATGCCCGGCCCATTGCTCATTTTCTGTAATGCTTCCTTGCAGTCTATATATTTCCCTGATGTGCATTTGTGTCACCTACAACCATCAACCTAGGACACTCCTGACAACGACACCTGGCTCTTCTCCAGACTCTCCCATCACCTCCTTGAGGAAGACTCCATTATTTCATTGTATGTGGAAAACAGGTCCTGTAGGAAGTACTGTCATGGTGTGATGGCACAGCCAGGGGTGGGGATGGGGGTGAGGAAGGATCATTTCTGCTGGTGCAAATGCTTGTCACAAACATAACCAGACGTGAGCATCTTCATGAACTGTGCTTATTTGACATCCCCAGCCACTTGATGATAGCTGGTGGATCTGGCTGTGGGAGATCCTGGGTCCCTAGGTCTGAAGGCTGCATGGAGAAGATGCCATCTTTGCTCTTTTGATCCTAACTCTCTGTTACAGTTTAGATGTTTGCCCCCTCCAAATCTCATGTTGAAATTTGAGCCCCAATGTTGGAGGCGAGGCCTGGTGGGAGATGTTTGTGTCTTGGGGGTGGATCCCTCATGGACAGACAGATGCCCTCCCTGGGAAGGGAGTCTGAGTGAGTTTTCACTCTACTGTTCCCATGAGAGCTGGTTGTTCAAAAGAGCCTGGCATTGACCCTTCTTTCCTGACTCTCTCTTGCTTCCTCTCTCTTCCTCTCTCACATTACCCATTGTCCATGAGTGGAGGCCGTCAAGGGCCCTCACCAGAAGTAGGTACGGCACCAGGCTTCTTGTGCAGCCTGCAGAACCATGAGACAAAGAACCCTCTTTCCGTGATAAATTACTCAACCTCAGGTATTCCTTTACAGCAGCACGAAGCAGACTAGACACTCCCCAGGTGCAGAGCCCAGGGTTTCTTCTCTGGCTTTTCTGAAGCTCATAAATGAATGAACCATACTCAATATTAATAGTAACAGCATCATTTTAATAATGCCTAAAGCAATGTGGATATAAGAGGAAACATGCATTACCTGTTGACGTTTTTCAAATTCCAACTTGATCCGGGACTTGATACAATTACATGTGTCCTGATATGTTTGCTGAAGAGCAAGCTCCATGAGGTGCTTATGGTAGGCTCCCGCCAGGTTCCCACAGATGAAAATGATCACATTGGCCAGGATCTAAAGAGACAGAAAGAGCTGCTCAATAGGGTGTTTCTCACTCACGAATACAATCAAAACAAAACACACATTAGCAATGGTCTTCAGAGACATAACTGCAGGAAGTTAATTTTACTTCTGTTTCTAAAGTAACATTTTTATTTTCTTAACAAAAAGCATGAATGTCCAGAAAGGTTCTGCCCTTTCCTTGGATCTGTGCCCTTTAGTAGATGACTTTGCAGCCCTGTCTTGACTTTGGGCTCAGCAATGAGATTTGCTTTGCTTTGGCTTATTCAACGTGCACAGAAATAATCATGTGCCAGATCCAGCCCCGGATTACGAGACCTTTTGTTTTTCAGGTCACTCTCTGGCACCTCTTTAGGAAAAGAACACTCCCTGGCGAGCCCACCAGTCCCAGGGTGAGACACATAGAGCAGAGCTGCCGTAGTCAATCTGCGGTCTATTTTTGTGTACCTCTGAGATTTCACGGTTGTTACGCACCATTATCATAATACTAAGTGACTAATACAAACTACCCTCACACCAAAATTGTATTTGCTGAGCCTGGATAAGTGACATTCCCCCATTATCTTTTGTTTATGTAGAAATATGGTAGTCTTTCAAAACATATAACTCATTATTCTTTTGATGATAAAAACAATTCATGTTAATACAATTCAAAAGAAAAACAGAAAGACATAAAGAAAAACTAAAAATAATCTGTGACTGTCCTGCCCAGGCAGAACACTCTGCTGTCCATATGGCCTTGTCTGCCTACTCCATTTTCCTCTGTATTCTCAAAATTGGTGGCATACTTTACTTTGTCAAGACCTCGCTCTTGTTCCAAAAAGCTTCAGTTCATTCTGAATGTAGTTTTGTGCTTCGTTTTAACACTTAACAAAATATTTTTTAGATTATACAAATTATGTAGAAACACGATTTTAAATGCTTAGAAAATATTCAGTTCTATGACTATCATCATTTAGATATGTCCATATTGTTCAATACTTACTAATATTCTGTGCATTTGCATTATGCTATAAGATTCAACTTCATGTATAAAGCTTTGGCTTCATATTTGATCATTTCCTCAGACACAATTACTGAAAAGCCATAAGTAGTTTAAAGTTGTTGATACATATTACAAAATTGCTCTCAGGAAATGTTCCATTTACATTCTCATCAACAGTGTATAACCATTGAACATTTCCTGAGAGCAATTTTGCAATATGTATCAGTGTAGCCCGGTATTCACTATTCACATAGAGCAAGCTCTAGTGTTCAGAGTGAGACCTACAGGTCTGTCAGGGAATGGATAGACATACCTGGTTAAAGTCCACCCTTCCCTCCATTTCCACATGACTTGTATTCTCACCTTCTCACCAAGACAAGTCACTAGTGGCTTTAATAGCAAGTCAGTGGCATCAGTTCCAAATATCCTGTGCTCTTCCCTAAGAGTTTCCCCATAACACAGATCACTTTATCACATTACTCACCCAACATGGTGAGCAGGGGTGGCTGGAGCGATCAGGGGAATTTTATTCCTAAATCTTCAAGGTTCTCTGTGACAGGACTGAACAGAAAATCATGGCTGTCCCCTCTCTCTATAGCAGGGTCACTTCTCCCAAGAAGAGCAGGAGGAATTGGTCTAACTGGAGGGTTTGGGAAAATGATTTGAACCCTCTGCATCTTAGTCCATCCTCCCCATAAACAGGGTCTTCCTCCCTGAAGAAGGTAGTCATCATCATGTCCTATGTTCTCAGCCAAGCAGTGGACCTAGTGGGCCACTTACCCCTGTGCTGGGAAACACCTTGATTTGGGGGCAGATGGCTGTAGGGAAAGATGAGTAAACTCAGGGGATTATCAGCAAGATCATTTATTCCCAACTGCACTCTCCAAATAGGTATAAGGATAATAAGGTGACATTTTGTTATCCATCTACCGAATGCCTTTGTCTATCTCTCAAAGAGTTCTAAACACAGAAGAAAAATAGTGCTATTAATTATGAGCCTCCTGAAGTCCTAGAAAATAAATGTTTGGGATAGAGGGAAAAAAGGAGGCAGAGTTAGCAATTGGATGAATGATGTGATGAGGTTCTCTCTGAATAAATGCAGATGCGTGAAAAAAGTGGGATCCAGAATGAAGCAGATTAGAAGGGGCCTTCAATGCTGTCCCATGTAACTCCCTCATTTCACAGATACTTGGGATCAGAGAGTTCCTCAAGCTCACCCACATTCTCACAGCTCACCCCCATAAAGTACAGTTATACATGTACATTTTATCTCCTCCCCTTTAATATGGATAATTAAAATCTTTACTGGGAACTGCTCTGTGTGATCTCTGTGTGGTATATGCATGTGGTGTGCATACATGCATGTAACTTGTGTGTGATCTATGTGCATGAGCTGCATGCCTGAGTGATGTGTTTGCATGTGATATGCAGGTAATACTTGTGCTATGTGTGGAAGGTATATGTGCCCACAGTCTGTGCATGAGCAGGTGCAGCAGCCCAGGGCTTCAGAGCAATGTAGCAGTCTTCAATGTGGCTAGACACATTTTCTAGCATGACAGGGCTCTCTTCCTTCAAATTGCCATACTTTGACACATCACCTCTTCTGAAACTGTCAGTCCTAGAGCATGTGGAAAGTCCGGATGACTTTCCTGGCTTCCTATTTGAGGGGACCCTCCACTAGCTGAACAGGAGTTAATTTCAGCACTGTGTCCCATGGTGCATTGTCAATTAAGTCCTGCCATACTTTGCTTCTGCAAAATGACCATCTGCTTTGCTAAAAATTCTTCAGACCTTGTCATTGCCGGATATGCCTTGAAGAACAGTGCACCAAAGAATGCAGGAAATGAGAAAAGCCAATGCAAACCATGCTGCTCCGAATTAGAAAATACTAACTCCTTGGTTTATTAGGTGTAGCTGAAATAATAATCAAAATAACTCAGTGATTATTCATGAGAGCTTTTTCTCTTTCTCCTCAGAAAATGCCTTCGAAGCAAACCTGCCAACATTTTAGGGAGTAAATTTCTCCAAAATAAAAACCAAGTATAAGCAACAGAACTGAATGAAGCCATCATCTACCCCTGGGTGCCCTCCACTAGGTATAGAAATGGGGCACTTTGATACTGACACTGAGGCTCCAATGTGAGTCTCTCCCCTCTGGAATGCAAGTGCTGCCTTGTCCTGTTTTCCTAGAATCCCATTCCACACTTATTTCCTCTGAATTCTCTTGGCTAGAAGGGCCTTGTTGCAACAGAACAGTTGGCCTTGAGTGTCACGGCTCTTTCCTTTATTGCCATAGGCTCTTCTTCCCCCACATTGGGGCAGCCTGTATAGGGAACTGCCGTCTCTGTGGCAGAACCCCTAATGGCAGACTGAAGGCAGGGTGCTCCTGGCCTTGCTGCCTGGCCCAGGGCACAGAGCCAGTGTAACTGACCAGGTAAACGTTTCTTGTCCAATGAGAGGTTTCCAAATATTTGACAACAGCAGCTCATCCCAAGCAAGAGGAAGCCCCCTGGCCATGAAGCCCTAAAGTTATGCGGCTTTGCTCTTCTTGCTGCCTGTCTCCTGGCCAGTGCTCTCTGACTGCCACGTTCTGCTGGTACCCTTGCACTACCATGGCAGGTAAGGAAAACCCTTTGAGTCATTCATTCTGGATGCTGCACTGTTTCCAGCAAATGTAATTTGAACCCCTCCTGTCTATAGATAATGGGAAATAATGCATTTACTGATTTTTAATTTATATATTCAAAGGAAAATTTCTAATCAATAAAAAACATAGGGCTGTAATGCCAAATAGAATATGAGATTTCTTTTCTGATGGAAAACTTATCAATGATATTATAAGCCTGTTCCTGATACCCGGTTTCATCCTGCAGTACTATATTCTAAGGTTAATTGAATTGACCTTGGCATTTTGATAATGACACACATTTACAAATGCAATTGATGTCTTAAAGAATTTTTCTTTTAAAATGGTGCATGCATGGAATGACTTATATATAAGACCCAGGGCTGGAAGGGAGTGATGATGTTACAATTTTATTTTCAAAAATAATATCAAAGCATTTTGTTTTCTAGAAGACTGTTAAGCAGAACATCTGACAAACAATTCTATTTTCACAATGTTGAGTTTGTTTTATAATACCATCCCATCTTGATGTCTCCTTTTATCTTGTTGCTTCATTTAGCTACTCTCACAACTGTCAGAAAACAGGAGAGGAGCTTGGCCTCCAGAGATGTCTTAGAAGGAAATAAATTGTTTAAGGTAATAACACAGTCAAGGTTTACACTGAAGATTAAAGCCAGGTCTTGAAATTGAGCATATGTAGGGTTTGGAATCTGTGTAAGTAGAACCATGCCAGCACAACCTCACAGAGGCTTGCTGTCTGCACTGATCCCCATCTTCTCTTGATGTACATGTCGGGTGGTTTGTCAACACTTCACGTGCTTCTCAGAGGATGAAAATTAACGAATTCTGTACTTCTGGGAAGGCTGGTGTCTACCAGCAAATTATTATTATTATTTTGCTTCTTTCATATGACCACCATAGCCATTCTAAATATACCTTATATCGTTTCATCCTTAAAGAGTATAGACAGCAACACAACCAGGAGAACGGACTTATTTTATTATTTCATCTTACAGACTGGGCCACAAAAAGTCCTAAAAATTAAGTGACCTGAGAGCTGTCCCCAGGCTGGGAGAGCCTCTCCAGATTGTCCCTGTATATTCTACATCACTTCAATTCATACACATAAGGTCAGGTTTCTCCACAGCCATACAACCCCCTCTAGAGCACGGGGAAGGTGTTTCTGAGGAATTTCTAAAGAGACACATGTTATTTTGTAAGAAACTAATTTTTTTCTTTATAAAACATTTGCATTTATGCTGTAAAGTACCTTCATCATTTAAAGTTATGTTAGGTTCTTGGAGACCATTTGCCCATGGAGGCTTTACTGGTTTTGCTAATGTGTTTGCACGTGTGGAGAGGAGAGTGAGGGGAGGGTCAGGC